TGTTAGAACAATGCTATATATAAATCTAATATATATCCTAAGTCGAGCTTTCGAGACATGAAAAATGCAATTCGATTTTTGTCAATCCGTCCAGTAGAACGGGAGATATAGAACTTATCCCCTTCCCCCTTTTTTGCGGAATGTACATACATAATGTTATTAAAATCAACGTATCCATAATTTTATAATAACATAAAATCAACGTATCCATAATTTTATAATAATATAAAATCAACGTATCCATAATTTTATAATAACATAAAATCAACGTATCCATAATTTTATAAAATAACATAAAATCAACGTATCCATAATTTTATAATAATATAAATAACGTATCATAATTTTATATAAAATAATACCAGAATTTAAATAACAACGTATCCATAATTTTATAAACATAAATCAACGTATCCATAATTTTATAATAACATAAAATCAACGTATCCATAATTTTATAATAACATAAAATCAACGTATCCATAATTTTATAATAATATAAAATCAACGTATTCATAATTTTATAATAACATAAAATCAACGTATCCATAATTTTATAATATTTATCATGTTATCCGTTTGACTGCTACGCGGCGCAAAAGCGTTGCGTTCATTTGACTCGGAAACTGTTGCGCTGCGAGTTTCAGTGCGTCTTTGTTGCACCGTTGTTGTGAACGTACGTACTCTGACCTCACGCGTACTTTGTAACACGAGTGCATTCTAAAATAACTAACTGCGTCGCGGTTTTCGAGACAAATGAACGCAGCGCTTTTGCGCCGAGTAGCAGTCAAACGGTTAAGCTAATGTATAATAATAATTATTATTTAATAAAAAATGCGTGTATTACTTATAAATCGTAATAATATTATTAAAATTACGTATATTGTTTTTTAACTAGATCAGACGGCTGCGCATATCACATTTTTATATTCTAAGTATTTTGTCGTGAGGAATGGAATTAGTTTTTGAGCATAAACAACTTTCCAAATGACGTGCAAAATTAAACTAGTTTAAGGCGATTCAGTAGCAGAACATGATAAGAAAATGGAAAAATTAAATCAAAAGTGCGTATTCAAATTAAATTAACTAGTATTAAGAACTATAGACGCGTTTTTGGATAAGTATTAAGAATAATAAAATTCGTAGTACGAAAAAGTGGGTTGTGAAGAAATCTTTATGTGTCCGCTGACTCAAAAGAAGGAGCTAACAGATTTCTTCTCTCTCTTTCTTCTTCTAGTAGCGGAAAATTGAAACCGCCTCTACACTGTCTTTCTGGTTGTCATCGCTGAAGCAGCAAACTCGCCTCCCTTCTGCCACGTGATGTCGACGGACTTTTCCTAGAACTCAGATACTTATTGCTAACGTCCATTTACTACCTTTAAAATTCTTATGCCGAGGCACTTATAGCTGATAATTATTTTGTTATTAGTGGATGTGTGTTGAAGGATTATATATTTTCTAAATTGTTTTCTATAAATTTATACCAGCCCACCAGCGGCCGAGCGGTAAAGTCGCTGAACCCTGGTAGTTCGGTCCGAGGTTCGAATCCCGCGAACGGGCTGGCTGCATGGGTGTTTTCGTGGTTTTCCCCATGTGTAACGTGTATACGAGCCAGTTTTCCTTAGAAAGTCCTCCACGAAGGCATCCCTCAACTTAGGCAGATTGCCCTCGAGGCTTTGCCGTAATTAAATAACCTAACCTAATAAATTTATACCAGCACAATCATGAATTTTTCGTTTTTCCCCTTTACTTTTTTAGGGCTATTAATTTTGATTTGGCATTTTGCGTCGTCCACTATAAAACGGAGTTTCACTTTTCAAATTGTTGTCACCAAATATTATATTTAAAGAAATTAAATAATGAAGAATCTGAATGAATGTAGGTATATTTCTCGCATCATGAAAAAACAACGGTACCTAGAGACACCAAATAGTGTGGTGGAGGACTACGTTATTGAATAATTTCAAATAACGTAGTCCTCCGATCGAATACGGCCAACTGGTAGCCCAAATTCGGAATTTGTTTTATTACCTTTTTCATATTTTCTATGTCTTTAACGAATTTTTGATTAACAAACTTAACGATTTGAAAGCGAGCAATTGGTAACACTGTACGAAAAAAACATTTTTATCTCCAGCGCGCGAGACTGTGTATCCGGAAAATGTAAAGATATGCCCTTTTTAAATGTTTTTTGATATTGCTTTGAATTGAATTTTACAGTTTAAGTGCCGAGGTGCCAAGAACATGATATTTAATAAATAAAGGTAACCCACAAAACATCCTTTTGTGCGTAATTATAAAATCTGAAAGCTTTCAGGTTATCTATTTATTTATTAAAAATTGATTTCAACGCGCAACTCTTTCCCAGATAAAGCCTATCATTATATTTTGCATTGTTATTTTTGAACGATTTTTGCCATATATATCTTTTAAATACTTATTTTCTAGTAAATACGTTATATCCTATTTACTTGACAATGAGACAATGCTTTATTTCTGTTCTTAAGTTTGATACGATCATATAAACGAGTATTTCGATAAATGATACTGCAGAATGAGAGGAAGAAGATTTAATTATCATATTATATAAAATAATTGAACTGTTTAAATAATAAACAAACCATTCAAGTTATAACCGTGTGCATTAACTAGCTAATTATAACGGCCATGTTTGTTCAGCGATTTCAGTTTAGATCTGCATCCACTGTACTTATTATTGGTATTCCTAGAAAGAAATAAGTAATAATATATTGTTAGTTTCCGGTAATTTTCCTTCGTATACCATAAAAAATATTGCATATTTAATTGAAGATTGCTTTTCCTTCTGATTTGAAACAAATGAAAGCAATAAAAAATGAATGGAAAAATATGTAAATGAATTTTTGATCACAACCATGCTCTCATCAAAATGTTTTTATTTCTTAAAATTCACCCTGAAATATAAGAGAATCTTATGTGCGCGTAAATATGGTATAAAGTCAAAATCAACTTGTCCTTCTAATCGGAAACAAATTAAAGCAAAAATAAATAAATGGAATAAAAATACTGGTGATTATTTGATCAGAACCGTACTCTCATCAAATGCTCACCTATATTTTTATTCTTAATGTTCACTCTAAAATGTAAGCGTCTTATATTTGCGTAAATATGGTACAAGTTCACTCTCATAAGGTACAAGTTCAAAATCTGCTTGTCTTAACGCGATTCTTAAAGATATCGTTATCCATATTCTGAACTCTCCCATTTTTTAACCTTTGAAGGCCGAAACGCCCGAGACAGCATTTCATTCAAACGACCACAACCGCCACAATGGCCGAGATTGCGATGTTGTTTTTCTTTCCTAACAGTAGCAGCTGCAGTTTCCCTAAATGCATTGTATTAGTTTATTGCATACAACGTCTCCTAAAAGGCTAATGGAAGCTTCTTTGTTAGGAGGTAGAAAGGATGCCATTTAAAATCTTCATACCTCTTTGTGCGTTAATGGACAATGAGGGAAGTAACCGGACTCGATGAGCAATGGACGAAAGAGGGCGTTTCGGTATTTTAAGCATACAGGTTAGTGAAGGCCTCTCTTTTCTAAGGGTTAAAGAAAGCTGCGGAATGATTATTATGAAGCCCGCAAAAAAAGGTCAAAGCAACTGTCCGGCAATCAGCTCAATATATGCAGGCATAAATCTGAGAGGCGTTACGACCGACCACTAAAAACAAGTAGTTCAGTCCGCGGATTGGATCCCGAATGGGTTGGCTGCATGGGTGTTTCTTTGGTTTTTCCCAATTATAATGTGGACACAAGCCAGTTTCTCTTAGAAAGTCATAAAGGCATTTCTTCCCTTAGGCAAAAGGCTTCGAGGGCTTTAATCAAGTAAAACGAAAACCTAATCTTATTTGGCTGGAAAATTTGTTAACCTTATCAAGGGGACCCAGTGGCCCTTTGTTAAAGAATATAAAGCAATGCAACAATAAAGTAAGGAAGAAAAACTATACAAGGTGTGACACAAAAGAGAGTGGTCCGATAAATCATTGTATTTACAGAATAAGTTCTCCGTGACATTATCACCTTCAAAATAGTTCCCTTCAGCATTCAGGCACTTTCTGTGTTACCATTGCTGATAACAGTTCTCGAACGAGGTTTTTGGAAGACCCTTCAGAAGATTCTCCTTTTTTGCCTGAACCTCTTCAGCTGAGGTAAAATAACTTCAAGTAAGATTTAACTTTCAAAAATAAAAATAGTCGCATGGAGCCAAATCAGGTGAATAAGGAGAATGCTCCATCACAGTAATGTTTTTGCTGGTTAGAAACTGCTTAACAGATAGGGTCGTGTGAGCAGGTGCATTGTCCGGGTGCAACCCGTTGGGAGGAACCAATCATCACTCCACAACTGTGGCTTTTTTTCCCTAATTTTTTCAAAGTTCCTTTAGTACCTCAGTGTAGTAATATTGATTCCCAGCATGTTCATCATCTTCCTAGCTGTCCTTTACACCTGAAAACTGCTGATGCCATTCACACGTGTATGAGACAAAGTTTCATCTCCATAAGTCTCGGTTAACATTTGAAATATTTCCTCCGTGACTGATTTCTTAATTTTCAGAAGAAACTTGATGTTGATTCGCTGTTCGGTTTTTGCATTAAACATTTTTCTAGCAGAACGCAGTTGCACGTGTTTACTCAATGACGCAGTACTCTCCACCGGTGTGCTCGATTAAGTCGAAACTGGCCGCATGGATAGAGGAGGAGTGTGGCATAACGTCACCAAAACAGTTGTTGCCAACTCCCCTCTATTTTCAAGCTACACACTTAGTCTCGTTTTTTTCGTGTGTCACACCTCGTATATAAAATATACAGATAGAAAAAAGACTTAATATAATCTTCTCTTGCTCTTCTTTTGTAAATGTAGACAGGATTTGCCATAACGAAGATTTTCATGCCTGAAAGAGACCTGAAATTTCTAAAAGGGAAATAAATGTTTTATGGTTCTTAATAACAGTGTTATTTCTTTACAGCATTGGATGCCAGTCTGGAAAGGTTACAAATGGAGTACGTTGACATTGTGTATATCAACAGGACGGATCCCATGTGCCCCATCGAAGGTAAACATTTAATAATATGATTCTTAATAATTAGTTAATATGCTTGCCAAAAGATGGCGCTACATTTGTGAGCAAAAGCTTACATATGTTTAGCAAAAATATTAGTATTTTAATATCAGATATTTATAAACAGAGGTTGTTCGTGCCTGCACACATGCCATTAACCACGGGAAAGCAATGTACTGGGGTACATCAAGGTGGACAGCTATGGAAATTATGGTGAGCATTTCTTTGTACAATTTCAGTTAATTTGATAATTATGGTGAGCATTTCTTTGTACAATTTCAGTTAATTTGATAATTATGGTGAGCATTTCTTTGTACAATTTCAGTTAATTTGATAATTATGGTGAGCATTTCTTTGTACAATTTCAGTTAATTTGATAATTATGGTGAGCATTTCTTTGTACAATTTCAGTTAATTTGATAATTATGGTGAGCATTTCTTTGTACAATTTCAGTTAATTTGATAATTATAAGATTAATATTAGTGTGTTCACATTGAAAATTGGTGACGTTTAAAAGTTTTAAAGCATACGCAGTTGATTCAGTTATTTGAAAATTTCAGAGAGATATATCTGTGTAGTGATACCACCCAGTTTCAAGCAACATTAGTAGCAGTTATTAATTATTAATAGCAATAGCTGTTTTTTCACAGTTTAATTAATGTTTAAGCGGCGTTTAAAAGTACAAAACTTTGCAAATATAAATAGTAATAAAGAATGAATTTACTGCAATAAAATAGCTCTCGTTGCTCCACTCATTAACAGAGGTTTTTTTCGAATACAAAACCAGAAATTGTTTATTTAATTTTTGAGCCAATTTATTTAAAGGAGCATTTAATTTAAACATTATAGCATAAAAAAGGAATGAGATATTTGTGAGCGTGTAACATCTAACGTTTATTATTATTTCTGTACATAACTAAAAGGAAAATACAAGGGGAGATGGAACAAAAATTGTCTAACTCTAAATCAAAATGTCTAAGAAAAAATTTCACGTTGCACTGTGCTTTAGTTTGAACTCTTAATGGGTAGAAAGGGTATTCCACATAAAGTGTCTTTATGTGTGATTCCTACTTGAGCTGGGCTCACCAGCGGCCGAGCGGTAAAGTCGTTGAACACTTGTAGTTCGGTCCGAGGCTCGAATCCCGCGAACGGGAGCTAGCAGCATGGGTGTTTTCGTGGTTTTCCCCATGTGTAACGCGTATACGAGCCAGTTTCCCTTAGAAAATTCTCCCCAAAGGCATCCCTCCCCTTAGGCAGATAGCCCTAGTGTGCTTTGCCTTAATTAAAAACACCAACACCTTCTTGAGCTAAGAAATTAGCTACAGAAGTAGAAAATCATCAAAGGAGAAAGGTACGATGGTAAAGCAAAAAAATACCAAGTTTATATCTATTCTAATGTATTAATAATTAATAATTATGTGTTATAACTTTTGCATAAAACAGGTCTAAAAGTTTAAAACGTATTAACTCTTCAGTGGTAGATGCATTTGATAAAAATGTCTCATAATTCAGTCGAAATTTTTTTAAATATAGTAATGATATACAGAAGGAAAATTTTTATCTTAAACTAGGTATCCTTGCATATATCTAAAATACTGTATCCCTAATATATGCCAATATTTAATTAACTAATCGCTACTTTCCTATTACCAGAAAAACCTCTGAAAGAGTTATTACACAAAGTATGAATAGTCGCCAAAAACTATCGCCAATTGAAAAGACAAATCATCGTATGTCGTTTCGAAGATTTTTCAGTATTATCATTGAATACCAGATAGACCTTTTTTCAGTGTTAACTATGATTACCAAATACACTTTTTTTCAAAGTTAGCAATGATTACTAGATACACGTTTTTGATTACCATATAAACAGATTTACAGTACAATATTTTTCAGTTTTTTAAGGTTTCGCTACTAAAAATTTTGGTTTGATTTGGTTTATTTGATTACGGTAAAGCACACGAGGGTTATCTGCCTAAGGGAAGGGGTGCTTTCTTGGAGGACTTTCTAAAGAAAGCTGGCTTGAACATACATTCTGCTAAATGGAATATACCAAATAATCATACGATTATAAGCATTTTAAACTAGTTCAAATAACCAACTGTTTCATTTTTTATTTGCAAACCTGATTTAACGAATGCCCTGGCGGCTTTTCATTTGCAGGAGGCTTACACTGTTGCTAGACAATGCCATCTTATTCCACCGTCCGCAGAACAAACGGAGTATCACATGTTCCAAAGGGAAAAAGTTGAAATACACCTGCCGGAACTCTTTCACAAAATTGGTAAGTCCTGCTCGTTTACATTCCGCTTCAGTTTCACAATTTAAATTTCATTAAAATGCTTTGTGATGTATTTTCATGATTTATAACTTTATGTGGTTTATGATATTTTTTAATTGACCCTGTCCTTTTAAGGAATTTTTGCTATGGCAAACGTATAAGTACCCTGTTACCCAGCTCAGTAATCTCAATATTTTTATTCTGATATCTTGGTAAATTGTGCACTTTTTGCTATAAAAGTGGTTGAGTTATGTTGTTTTAATGTTCCGGTTAAGGTTTATATGCCTTTAGTTAATCTGCAGATCAAAAGTTCAAGAGGCGCTAAAAGCTTAGCGAGGCTAACGAGGCCGCCATTTATTTATATACATAGATAACTCTCGTAAAATTTGGTATTCTATTAAATCAGTTTGTGCACCAACTTCAGTTTCCTTCTGCCCAATGGAACCAAAAGTTAACTTTCAATTTTGTGCATTGAAAATTGTGCCTTCCTGCTCGCTGGCCGACTTGCTTATTTTTGGTTAGAAACTTAAATTTTAATTGTGGAAATTATTCTTTAATTCTTTTAACTGTACTTGATGTTTTATGTTTTTCTGTATTTCACGATTTTAATGAGGATTTTTTGAATTTTTCTGTATTTTTTTTGCTTTGCCAAGGAATAAGAACTGAATTGATAAAATGAGAAATACATCTCTAATGATATACTAGAAAATAGGTTTAAATTAAGTATTAAAAAATTATTATAACTTAATAGGCCGTAAAAGGAAATCATATGGTATCCACATCAGATGTTTTCTTAAGCCCGAAATAGCTATTAACCTCGAAAAGCGATTTTGCTTTATTTCACTTTTCTTTCGAGTCTGTTGCTGCCTGTGAAAAGATAGGATATTAGTCTTTTACATTTAATTAGTCCTTTATTAATTAACAGACTTAGCAATAGATGCAGTTATTAAAAACATTATTTTTTAATTTTCGCTCTGATTGATTTAAATAAAAACGTATTTAATTCACGGTACTCTTTTTAAAAGCAATAAATACTGCCAAAAAATTACATTACATGTTTTTTCAATTTTCGAATCTACAGAAGATATATGTAACATTCCATGTTAATCAAAATTCGCATTCATCTGACGTCCTGAGGTCAAATTCTAAAAGATCTCTTTGGTGCATCTGATCTGTTTCAGATTTTTTTTTTCTTAGTTGTTCATTTTAAATTTTTACATAGATGTATTTTTATCTCAATTAGATTTTTTGGCATCAGCTGGTATTTTCGGGAAATATCTTCTTTCTAGTTCGTCTCTTTGCGGCATTTTGGGAAAATGTTTTGCTTATGACGTACACTTCATCGCTGGAGCTTAATTCAAAATCTAAAGTTGCTTTTTAGCCTCTTTTGAATCAGTATGGTATTTTGTCCTGTTAACTTTAAAAGGTGTTTCTCCCAACCTTCTTAGCGTGCCTTCATGGTGTGGTGGTCTGCACGCTGGGTGCGTATTCCATAGATCCGTAGTTCGGTTCTCGGCGAAGACCTTGCTCCTTTTTCAAGTCTCCTGCTTCCAAATAACTAAATGTTGCTATACCTTGAGTTACAAAGTTAGAATAATAATTGAAGAAAACCGGAAATGGGAAAGTTATATTTAATGTTCCTTTTTAATATTTATTTTACTAGGACGTATTACTTTACTAATTGGATAAAGCCCCAGGGATTATTGATAAAAATATTTTCCGACAAAAGCTCAACAGAAACGGATAAAAGAAATGGTGCATTTGTCAGGCATAATACCAGTAATAATTTGCATTCTGGTCATAGTTGAGATTTTTATGTCCGAAAAAATAATTTGAATTTTGATAAGAATTCAGATGCTCTTCACACGCGTTTTATGTGATTTTGATTCGATATGCAGAAATATTTTAAGCAAACTTTTTGTGTTTTAAACGTTATATTCGATAATCCTTATCCTTCCCTATCTTTCCACATCGTGATTTCCAAGAAATTAAACCCTTCTGTAATATATTTTATCCCATTCTTCTTGAAGAGCTTTCCAAAGTCTAAGGAGGGTTGTTGGTCAACGTTTCGTCAGTCCCCTTTTTAAAAGTCCAAACACAGCAGGAGATTTGGTAGGGATATGAATGAAGGGTATGCGATTACTGCGATATACTGTATTGTACTGCGTTTCTATTGCCTGAGCAATACTTCCCAATCATGCAAGGAGTTCCATGCGGAGCCTGGTATTAGAAAATACCTGATTGAGTTTCCTCTGAGGGGAGAAATAACGGGAGAAAAGGGGGTTACGGCGCAATTTTCGCCTGGGCTCTGGAGCTGACGCGAGCTATTTGCAACACTGGTCGAACCAAGACAAGTCCAAAGTTTACATAAGAGCAGGCACATGGAAAGTAAACTACGTTAGATTATGTTGGGTGCTAGGATTTTTTAATCATCTTTTAATCTCTCTCTTTATTTAGTTATTTATTTTATTTTTTATTTATTAATTTTTTTAAAGTTTACTATGTGCAATAATTTAATAGGTTACAACTTTCCTCCATGCAGGACCAACGATTTCACAAAAACCCCATAAATATATGACAGTTGTGTCAGGATAAGCACCCGCATGTAGACATTTAGCAAGTCCAGAAAATCCACGGCAGTTAATTTTTCAGGCAGAGTCCTCCTATCTTTACTTTATCTAACACAAGTTTCTGTCTATTCTAACAACGATTCTTAACAGACTTCTGATTGCTTCTTTGCTTAATTTTAAGCAGTTCCTAACAGGATACTCTTTCCCCGTACGACAATATCCAAGCTGACATGTAGACTTTATGAGGCTCTTAGCCGTCTATTCGGCTGCGTTCCCGGAGCAGAATAGAGCAGAGAGTAGATGGTTTCTGCCAGGAAGATAACACACTGTGAGGCTAAGGCCAGGTCAGTGGTCTTCCTTTGTGGCGCTCACTCACTCACTCACTCCAAAGTCCGTAAGCCTGCTGGCACTTCACTGTGATTGGTCGAAATCTAGATTGGAATCCTTGTCAGAAAAGATGATGTGGAAAGATGCTCACGGAGCGTCAGCACGGAGTACTGACGAGTAACACTTAATTATTGGCTTGCCTAATTGAGTGTGCAGCATAAGGTAGGATGAGCAAATCGTCCGGGATGATTTCATAGCTCTGAATATACTCAAAGTTAGCTGTACTGTTGGTCTTTGCTTTCCTGAAAAAGTTTCCATTTATCTTGGATAAGTAGTCCTTGATATAATCAATATGAAGGTCGCGATGTAAATCTTCATTACTAATATAGTATGGGGCGTTAGTGATGGTTCTCAGGATCTTACTTTGCAGAACTTACTTTTGATATCCGTTTCTTGTTGTAATTTTTTCCAGGAAATTAACAGTGGATGTTGATGTTTGGCTACTTGCTTTGTCTTGGTGCACTTACATTGATTGATGGCTCTTTGTATGAAGAGTAGGTTTTACATATTTGAAAGCTGGGTATAAAATATGTTCCTGATAAATATGCGGAGTTAATTTTAACTCATCCTCCTATTCTCTTTACTTTCAGTTTGCCGGTGTATAAAAAACCAGCAAACAATAATAAATCCCTTTGAAAAATTTTCTTTAGATTCTTTGAAGCATGTTTTAACATTTTGAGGATAAAATAAATGGATCTCTTTTTATTGTAGTCATTTAAATACACCGACACCCAAGATTTATCTTTTGTGGCAAAAAGTTTCCGTTTTTGTTCGAATATATAGATAAAGAATTATATAGCTATATAGATAAAGGAATTATATAGATATATGGATTAAATATACAGAGTTATATAGATGTATGAATATAATTATATAGATATTATATAGATATATGGATCAAGAATTATATAGATATATGGAGAAAGAATTATAAAGAAATATATACATAAAGAATTCTGCAGCGCGTTCTGCATTCGGCGCTATGTCGTGGAGAAAGACGATGCACATTATGTTTCTTCGCCTTTTCAAAATTCAAATAACATTAACCACTGTACGGTATTTCTCCCGCCTTCCTAGCGTGCCTTCGTGATGTAGTGGTTCTGCACCCTGGGCCGGTATTCCAGAGGTCCGTGTTTCGATTCCCGGCGAAGGCGTTTGCTAATTTTTCATATTTCCTGCTCCCCGCTTTAACCTAATGTCTCTACGGTGGCACCCGAATTAAAAGGGTTGTGAAGGATGACTCTCCACACCCACGATTTGGCGATTGGGTGCCCTAAAAGCCCAGTTGCCCTTTAAAAGGGGGAGTATATAAGGTATTTCTCCCGCCTTCCTAGCGTGGTTTCTTGGTATAGTGGTTCTGCTGGCTAGGCCGGTATTCCAGAGGTCTGTGGTTCGATTCCCGGCGAAGGCGTTTGCTAATTTTTCATCGCTCCGGTTTAAAAAAAATCCTAATGTCTCTCCACCACTTTGTTTAAAGTCGACACTGAGCATTTTAATCATTTTGCTACTGTCCTTTGAGTTGGCGAATTTTCTTTTAAGATTAAAGAACTTAGCTTTCCAACATTCGAAACCATTCCATTTTTCTCTTGTATATGCATTTGTTTTTTTTTTTTTTTTTTTTTTTTTTTTTTTTCTTGTATATGTAGCTGGAACAATTTTTCCACATGAAGCCAAGCTCTAACTTTTATTTTCCTTTTTTGTTGACAATATTACCTACCGTAGCTTTAGGTATGGAAAAACCATAGCTTTCAGAGCGTTTATTAATAACTAGATTCGATTAATTTTCTTGGGAACGAGTACAATCATACCCTTCCATTCATTGCTTATTTAAAAGCGCCATTTTGCATGAAAATAAATTTGTAAATTAGCAGACGATTATTTATACCTTCAAAAACATAGCTGCAATTAAAAAAGAATTTCAAAGCAGGCGATTTTTTATAGCAAAGCAAAATCGTTTAAAAAATGTGCGAACAAGCTCTGTATTTTACTGTAATTTTGCTGTATAATATATTTTAATTTTATTGCATATGTATGCTGAATGTACGTATACTGTATATGCTTACCCTATAAAATATTTTACTGTAATTTGATTTTGTAAGCAATACAGCTAAATGCTAATATACCCTTTTAATTCATGCAAATAAATAGGAACTTAAAGTGGTTATTGGATGATGCTGTGGAGTAATTTCCTCCTCCTCAATAGCTATATTCCAGAACTGTTCCTGTTTTAACGCTTTCATTATAATGGAACGCCATTCCTTCGCTGCTTAACGCGTCCCGTTCTAAACCTTCCCAGAGAACTAGAACGACCTAAATTGAAGGAATCGTTCTCAAAGCCTCTTTCGAAAGAGAAACTTTTGTGGGTTTCTAAAGGGTCATTTCTAATACTGTTCAAAAGATGAATGTCTTTTACCGCCAATTTGCGACACCTACGGTTCTGAATTTAAGGCAGTAATCACTTACAACAGTAGTTTCGAAATTAAAATCATCCACAAATACGCAGTCTGAACTCCGTGTAAAGGTGATGTTCTATATCGTTGTTTAAATTAGGCTAAACTCATATTTAAACTGGTATTAATTTTAGGGGAATGCTATATACATTTCAAGAGAATAACAAAATGATCACGCTTCTCAAAAAAAGAAGTCTCCTATGATCGGTAATCTCAGATTTCACTTTATAATTTTCTCTCTCATTTCCGCATGCCTTCGTGTTGCAATTAGAAGCATACTCGACGCGTATTCCAGAGGTCCAGGGTTCGAGTCCCGGCGAAGACACTGCACCTTTTTCACGTCTTCTGCTTCACAAAAAAATAATGACTCTACAAATGGTGCTCGAACTGAAAGGTGGGGGACGATAATTCGTCACCACCATGATTTGGTGACTGAATCCCCCAATTCCCAGCCGCTTTTTAAAAGGGGAGTATATTAGGTGTTTTCCACCTCCTTTCCGCGTGCTTTTCTGGTGTAATAGGAAGCATACTCGACGCATTTTCAAGAAGTTCATGGTTCCTGTTCCGGCTAAGGTATTGCCCATTTTTCACGTCTCCTGCTTCCAAAATAAAACTATTGACAAGTCTACAGCTTTTATTTGCATATGTAAATTTGAACGCAAATATATAAGTTTCAAAAGCGGTATCAGTAAATAAAGTTATCGACACTCTGATTTTAAACGCAGGTCAGCAAATCTGTTGTTTTTGCCGCGTCCATATTGCATGGAACAATAGTTCCCAGAGCCTATTCCGAAAAGAGATTGGACTTCTATTCCCCCCCCCAATTTGAGGAAGAACACCCCGGGGGGGATCTCACTCCTCTCCACTCCCACTAATCGACAAGACGGGACTTTCGGCTCGCCGGATATTTAGAGTGCCGCCATGCCATTGGCCATGCCGCACCGACACTATACATTTACAAATTTCCATGTCTTCTCCGGGATTCGATCCTGGGCCCTTCGGTACCGTATTAAGCTTTCCTAACCACTATATCGTCTGTGCGACGAACAAATCAGTAGTGCTTGTATATAACTCGTGTTTGTAAGTCTTAAAGGCATATTTTCGGCTGAACGGTGAAGATACGGACTTCTGTTTTTGTAAGTTGCGTCTTCATAGCCTCAGTAGCACAAATATCAGATTTCATTGACATGTGAATTAGAATCTGTTCGAAAGGGCTGTAAATAACCAATTTGTGTACTCATAGATTTAAAATTTCTTTCTACAATTTTATGTTATAATTTTATATTTTTACTGTTTCGAAGTTTACAAATATAGGACAGTAAAAATAAATTTTGATACTGTTTCAGTGGTATAAATCTGTGAATATTGTGGTAATTGCATAAAATTCATAGTTTATGCAATTACCACAAACTCATTTCCTATAATTAAAATATCTAATATTTTTTCCTTTCAATAGGAACGGGCACAATTACTTGGTCCCCTCAAGCCTTTGGCCTATTAACAGGCAAATTTGACGAGGGTGTCCAACTCCTATCCAGGGGATCCTTGAAGGTAAGCAAAAAGAAGTATTGTATTTAAAATTCCATATGGTTTCATTTAAATTTGCACCATTTTAAAGCAGAGTACTGATAATTGACAAAAGTCGACCTTAATTTGGCTTTCATTTCAAATCGCAATCGTCAATACTTTCTTGAAGCTCGGCAACATAAATATAAATCATTAAAATAAATTTACCCAAGCTGCAATGCCGTATATATACGGTCTAGAATATTTTTGTGATATCTGTAAGAACGTATATATACGTACATATCAAAATATGTCAAAGAAATTAAAGCAATATATTAAAAGTACACAGATCCAGGTATGAAATACCAGGAGAGTTTTTACATTAAAATCAAAAAAATAATTTGTTCTGATAGTAGTTTCGGGAAATTTGTGCTTTCTTAGTAAAAACACTGGCCTCTCAGAGGGTTAATGCAACGATACTTTAAATATTTGGTACAAATTGTTTTGTGTACGTTTTGTGAGCAATATTTTTGATATTATAAAAGTAATGAAAAATATTTTGGGTTTTAAATTCAGATAAAAAATGATTTTGGGTGGTAAAAAGATCACCGATTTCAGCTCAGCACTTGGCAGCTCATTTCAGGATTGTAAGAGAAGATGTAACATATATATATCTATATATAAGTGAGAGTGTTTAAGATAAAAATTATTCATATCAAAGCAATAGCCCCTTAATCTCTCCGATCTCTATTCTAAAAATAATAAGGCCTTTTTTCCTGCACTGCATCATTTCTAGAAACCTTTTTCTTAATAGGCTGCCAAATTTATAACTGCGCGCTTTTGCTTCTATCTCTCTTGCCGTTAAGATGCTGGCTTGCTGCCTTTCTTCCTAGTATCAAAAATCTAAATGCTCTTGAATAGGCACTATTAGAGTGCAAAATGAATTTTATTCATAAATGTCAATTGAAATAAAGATGAATATTTAATCTACTTCTATTGTTAAGTTACATCTCCCGTATGAATCAACATTTGAACATTCTTGCAATTAGGAATAAATCTACGCAATCAGTTGTCCGACACTTCTACATCGTCATCATTAGAGAAAACACCGCGGTTCTAAAACATCATGGTACAAAACAGCGACATAGAAAATAAAGCAGTTCCTAAACTCCGCAACTTAAAAACATCGTCGTCAAAAATATCGTGGTAAAAAAACAAAGAACCTATAAATCATCGAATGATGATAACATTGCAGACATACTTTTTTCAGGCTTAAAACGTTGTAATTGATATAATGATTTTAAAATAATTTAAATTCATATAATGATTTGTAATGGCAACAAGGAATGAGAAATACTTTTAAATTCGAGTGTTCCTTATGACCGATGTAAAAGCGAACTAGTTTTTGTTAACGTTCCTCTACTGAACCAGTAACCGAGCGGTAAAATCGATTAACACTGATAATTTGATCCGACAAATGAGCTGACTGCATGAGATTCTCGTAATTTTCCTAATGTATAACTTTGATACAAGCCAGTTCCCTATTATGTCTTCACAAAGGTAACCATCCCCTTAAGCAGACAGCTAGTGCACTTTGTCATTGTAGAGACATTAGGTATTTTTTGGAAGAAGTCAAGATGACAAATGAGCAACGCCTTCCGTGGGAATCGAACCACGGACCTCTGGAATACCGGCCCAGCGTGAAGAACCACTACACCACGAAGGCACTCTAGGAAGACGGGAGAAATACCTTATATACTCCCCTATTAAAAGGCGACTGGGATCTCTTTAGGGGACCCAGTCGCCAAATCCTGGGTGAAAAGATCATCATCCAATACCCTTTACATCCCTTTATATTGGATGTAAAGGGTATTGGATATATTTTTATGCTGCTTTTAAAATTTTTATAATTTTACTGTTGAATTGTATATGGGGTAAAGTGCGAAGAAAATGATGCTCAATAATAAAGCTAAAAAGACAAAAAGCATATGAGTTAGTACTAGTGAGTGTAACAACAGACTATGAGTTCAGCGAGTGGGTAAAAATTTATCCTTGAATACACAAACGTGTGATGATTTGGGAATGTCGATTACGATTATGCTGAAGCACGCACAAAAGATCCATAATGAAGAACAAACTTGCAGTCGACGCAGATTTAAAAAGAAGTAATCGTAGTAGATTTAAATAATGCTCATTTTAGTTTAGTTAAAAATTTTGCCGCAGGAAATAACATGGTAAATTAATCGTGCCTCTTCCAGAAAATAACATTTACATTTTTGAGATCTTTAAGGAAAGGGGATAGCAATGCAGCAGCATCCTAGATAGGCCAAGTTGCAGAAGCAGATTTCGTTGTGTTTGAGACGAAATCTTAATTCCAAATGGGTTAGTTTCATTTTCAAAACATTTTAATTGGATAATTAATAAAGCTCTAGAATTATCATTGGTTAAACCTTATGTAAGTTGTTTTCGTTAGACCATTATCTTAAAGTTTTATGGTATTGATCAGTTTAGAAATGACGCGGACCAGAGAAAGTTATTATAAGCGATTACTATTTTTAGAATAGAGAGAAGGACTACCCAAATTAAAATGAAAAATTTAGGGTCTCTTGCTAATTTAAGTTACAATTTTGATTTACGTATTTTTTATTTTACATACATATGTAATCCCACTTTAATTCATTCCTAGCTAGTCATTACTATAATAAGCAAATTTTAATTCCTGTTCCCCATTCTTGTATCGAAAACCGACTGCATTTGGTGGGCCCACACTTTGTTTTCATTATATCCTGAAAGGATGTTTGTCACCGATTCAAGACAGTGAAAAGCAGAAGATTTATAATATGTTGTTTATCGTTTACTCTTAGTACTAACTCAGTTTTGTTTTACTGTCTACTTCACTTTAAAAGTCATTTCTATATCGCTTCTGTCAAACTAAGATTTGATTTGATAGTATCGATTTGCTAATGCTTCTACGATTTCATCTTAACTGTATTATCATTAGATAAATCTTCCTAACTTAGTTAGTTATTGCAATCCAAACAAGTGTTCACTTTGTATTCCCCGGCGTTATTTAAAGTTTTGTAACTTGTCCTGCATATGTAATCGTAAATAAAAAGATAAACAAACATAAAGAAGAAGAACGCCTGAGTTTCGTTTTTCTTATCCTGCGAGTTCGTACTTGACGAATCTTATTCGCAATAACAAGCATAGAGTGAAGAGCTGCTGAAAATAGATTTTCCCGGCATGCAATATTTATGAATTCCTGCGCCGTAGAATTTCCTTTCACTCGCCCGACTGAAAATCCAATCCCGAATAATGAGGATTTTATTCGATAGGGGCCGCTGCTTTACATTCCCAGCTCGCTGCCAGTATTGATGTAGAAATAAATCTAAGTTCACGGTTTGCATTCTGTAAATTGTTTCGGGTTTCAAAGCACATATAGAGAATGTTGAGGAAGAAGTAATTCGGCCCTTGAAGTTTTGTTATTTGCTCAAACGTACATTCTTCTCGGCACAAGAAATAAAAAGTATTTTTTCAAATTTTTGTACTTTGATCTGAATCCTATAATTTAAGCATACTGTATAATTTAGAGAACAAAGATTGTATAATATCGTATAATTTAGAGAACAAATATTGTATAATATCGTATAATTTAGAGAACAAAGATTGTATAATACCGTATAATTTAGATAATAAGGATCTTGAAGTAATTTTGAGTATTTCTAGCATATAATTTTAGCTTGGTTTGTGTACGGTTTGTTTGCCACAGAATTGAAAAAGCATTTTAAAACATTTTATCATATTTGTGTACACGATACACACCATAGTGGCGATAAAACACTTTATAATTAATTGGTTTGTGTACGGTTTGTTTGCCACAGAATTGAAAAAGCATTTTAAAACATTTTATCATATTTGTGTACACGATACACACCATAGTGGCGATAAAACACTTTATAATTAATTAGTGTGGTTTGGCTCAGACGATTATGACAAAGCACACTATGGCTATCTGCTTAAAAGGAAAGACGCCTTCGTGGAGGATCTTTCTAAAGGAAACTGTTTCGTATACACGTTAAACATCTGAAAAATCACGAAAACATCCATGCAGCCAACCCATTCGCCTGCAATCGAAACTAGGTTGGAACTAACAGTGTTCAACGATTTTCCCGCTTTTCTAACTCCGAAAATGTAAGATTTCTTATACTAAATTATTTCTGTGATTCAAATTAAATAGCGATTCAGAAAGAAAAAAGTAGAAGGTAAAATTCCAAGAATTGTGAAGAGAGTAAAGTAAATGTGGGAAGAGTACTGTCTCCTTTACTGCATGTGTACCAATCTAATGGAAAGCAATGAGAGACAAGAGTCACACCGCACAAAAAACAGGTAAACGTTGGCAGTTACAGGTTAGGTTGCCAAGTTGTGATCTCTAAGCATGCGAGTAGCAAATGATCTAATCCAATTACCTTCTCGAATGAATTGGCAACTAAAATCTTCTGAAAATTTTGCAGCATTACAGCTAAGTTTTGAAGAAATGCATGTCCTCATGGATCAATTTGTTTCTAATCAGATAATGAGCATTACAATTACTCAGAATGACATTTACATTTACTCAGAATCTTATTCTGTACTGCTTGAAATTTGTTGAAGTCAGCTTTTGAGGATGATGCCAAGGCTGCAGATGCGTAGTAAAGGGCTGGCGTTATAATGCATAGATATATCCTCCTCTCTTTGTTGAGAGGCAGTCCAGAGTGATTTCCAAGAAGAACAGAATGTTGGTTGGCGATGCGACATATTTTCCTATGACGTGCTTATTATCACAAGTCCACATGGGCCTTTGGTTAATGATAACACTTTGATAACTAAGAATCATCTCTGCCCAGTAAATTTTTATTTATCCATCTTTAATTGTGCCATCCACTCAGTTCTCAGTTTAGCTTCCAACAGCGTGCAGCGACAAGAGACACAGCTGAAACATTCCACCAATGCCAATGCCTTCTTTGCATACGTTATCATCACTATCCCGCATACTCACCTGATCAAGTCATGGTATATTATCGTTTACCCTGATCAAGCTCGATGATCGTTTCACCAACTGCCATCCAAAAATTGCTATTGCTATCTTAGGGAAGAAAGGTTTTTCGCTGGTAAATGCCCTAGGAAAACGTCGCCAAGGAGTGCAACCGAAGGAACACATGGACTGCGAACTGTTAAGTCGTTCATTGCTACTCTGCTAGAATGGAACTTTTTCCCTTTGGAACATGTGATACTCCGTTTGTTCTGCGGACGGTGGAATAAGATGGCATTGTCTAGCAACAGTGTAAGCCTCCTGCAAATGAAAAGCCGCCAGGGCATTCGTTAAATCAGGTTTGCAAATAAAAAATGAAACAGTTGGTTATTTGAACTAGTTTAAAATGCTTATAATCGTATGATTATTTGGTATATTCCATTTAGCAGAATGTATGTTAGGGAAGAAAGGTTTTTCGCTGGTAAATGCCCTAGGAAAACGTCGCCAAGGAGTGCAACCGAAGGAACACATGGACTGCGAACTGTTAAGTCGTTCATTGCTACTCTGCTAGAATGGTGGCTAGATCTAGGCCCTCTGTGGCCATGGCATGATACTTTAAAGGATTAAAAAAAATATGCGCTTCGATCATAAACAGTGAGAGAGCCATTCTTTATCGGCGAAAAAAATGAGTGCAAATTCTCCAAAGTTCCGGCATTTAGGCCTTTTTTGACCCAGTTTACACAGCACGTAAGCATCTTTGCTGCATGCACAAAGCTAGTTTATATTCAATTTCGAGTTACAGACTATTACATACCTTAACCGATTTACTGATTTAAAATGCAAAAAAAGGTTAAATATAATTTCAAGTTTTCAGAATTTAGGGAAAAAATTATCATCATTTTGTGTATGCTATTTAACTCAAATATGTTCGCATTTTACGTCGTATAACTCATGTATTTCATTTGCATTCATTAAACTATTCATATTATCAGATGCATAAAAGGGGCATAGTAATCCTCAGTTTTGTATTCTGTTCAAAGATCAATTACATCACCACAAAATTCATAAATAAAATTTAAAATTCAATAAACTTAGGAATAAACTTAGGCGAAACTGAAGCTTTTTTGTTAAAAGTCGCAGGTGTTTGTAAGAATTTCTACTTTATATGCAAATATTGACTTTCGAAAGAAAATTAACTGGGAAGATGAGGTTAACGATGAAAACATAATATAATATCAAATTAGTAATAGTTTAAGCTTCCTATTTTATTTTTTAAAATGTTTTAATATTTCGTTTTTCTCATTATCATTTTATTTTCTTAAATTTCTTATCTTTTGTTTAATAATGCACGAATTAGCATCTCACTCGGTCTATTCTACTCAAATTTGATAATCAAGTAAATGCTTGAATTGTATTGCGATGCGTATTTTTGCGTTTTCAAGGATTTCGAAAAACATCCAAAATTAATAACTCGAATATTTACAAAGTTTAATTCATTAATAAAATCTCTGGATACTCTCACTCCTGTGCAATATAAGAAAATAATATCATTATCATTGAAGATATTGATGATAAATCCTTCAGAAAACAGAAACAAATTTTCCATCATTTCATTCTAAAATATACAGTCAAGATCAATGAGCATGCAATCTCAAATTAAATCAAAGCAGATTCTGAAAAATAGTTTATCGAAAGAAGAGTTGCTTAAGCTGATTGAACTCGCTGTCCCGCTGGCTCACTAAGAATCCGATTAATAAACAAATCCTTAAGTACAAGTTTTACTAGATGAGGGGGGGCCCACCAGCGGCCGAGCGGTAAAGTCGCTGAACACTGGTAGTTCGGTCCGAGGTTCGAATCCCGCGAACGGGCTGGCTGCATGGGCGTTTTCGTGGTTTTCCCCATGTGTAACGTGTATACGAGCCAGTTTCCCTTAGAAAGTCCTCCACGAAGGCATCCCTCCTGTTAGGCAGATAGCCCTCGAGGCTTTGCCATAATCACACACACACACACACACACTTACTAGATGAGGAAGCTACATTAGCTGGCTAGTTAGAAACTGCCTTACATAAATTAACCTCCCCAACCTCCAGATGCCATCCGAGAGGGCACCACTCCTCTCGGTCAACCCATGAGGACTTCATATGTCAGACACCATCCGTCCCCAAGTTTTGACTAAGGGGCATCCCTCGGATAACCTTGACCATATAACGTTCCTACATCCAAGGAGCAGACAAAACAGTACCAGTACGGTCCCTGCCAAGCCTGAACCAACCACCAAATAAAAGATGGCAGTAATCCTGTAAAGACTGGTTATTCACCCTCAGAGGTCGAGGCTGTCTAGACATGGGTCCAGCCAGTTTGCTGGACTGAACCCCGGATCTTCTCCCATAAGATGGTCGATTCCGGAAGTTCCAATCCAGTCGAAAACCAGGGATGGTGTCCGATATAATCAGCCCAGGCGAACCTGTTTACCGGCGGGATCCACGAGGAGGCCATTGTCGGACGGAGATAGGAGAGGCTCTATGGTAGCACGTCACTGTCCCGGTAGCTACATCCATTCTCAGAAGGTCCAGATCGAACCCCGGGTGTACCCCCATGAAATGGTCGGTACCAAAAATTCAAACCTTTCCAAATTCAATGGAATTCAACCTTTTCGGAAAATTTATAAAAATTGCTAAAAAGTAAAAATTTTTAAAACAAATCAGAAAATAACGGAGAATTTTTTTACTTTGAAAAAGAAGGAATCAAGTAAGTTCAATAGAAAAAGAGATATTAATAAATACATTCCAAGTTAAATTAACACTGAGGGAATAAAAGTTTGAGAGTTAATTATTAAAAACTACTGGTGCGATAGAATGTCATTTCAGAAAAAGTCCGATTCTGTGTCAGATCACCTATGTTAAAACAATGCTATATATAAATCTGATATATATCCTAAGCCGCTCTTCCGAGACATGAAAAACGCAATTTAAATTCCTTCAATTGGCCCTAGTGAACGGAAGATTGAAGGAGAACTGTTTCATCTTCTTTTGTTATCCTTTGTGTGTGTGTGAAAGGTATATCAAACAGTAAACACCGACTGTAAATACACCGGAGCTGAAGTTATTTAATTAAGGTTGTTGCAGGTTTTCTCAAGGGGGGAATTACAGTTTAATAATTTATATGTCAAGAGCACAGTCTAAAATAAAATATTCCATTTTTAAATTTATTTAAATTCCATTCCATAAATTATATTTATTTAAGATTTTAAAAATATTTTATATTATATTGCTAGGTGTTATATTGTTAGATATCATGGCAATGATTTCTAGCCTGCGGTAAAGCGATTTAGTTTCTGCAAAAGATATCTATTTATTTTGTTTCTTTCTAGGATCGGAAGCAATAAGTTATTGGATTGTATTAAATGCAACTAGATGCATTGTCATTGTAATATTTGCTTTTATTTGGCTAATTCTTAGAAGTATACAGATGAGATCGGATAGTATAGTGATAAGTTTCATATTCTTACCGAATAGTTAAATCTTAAATAGAGGTGTGATTGCATAAATGGATGGAAGGAAAAGAAAGTTGGTTTTTCTGATTGTTGTTTTTTGATTTAATGATTGCTGTTTTTGCAGAGCTTGTCGGCGCTGCAGGACCGGCTCAACACAGACGGCAGTCCGAAACATCAGTACAAGATGAGAGAGCTCAACCACATTGCGGAGAAGTTGGGTTGTACTATGACACAGCTCACAATCGGCAAGTGAATCTTTTCACTCTCTACATTTACTGCAAACCACGGTAGAAATAACACTGTGATTAATTACACTGTCCATCATCCTTAAGTACATTTTGATTCATTACACCGATCGTCAATCAGTAGCAGTTTTTTTCTTTTTCTATGGTTTTCCAGAGTATTTCTTACGATTTACTATTGCATAAGCTCAAACAGGTTTAACTTTCAATATAATATTTATTTTTTTCTGTAAACAACATTAACCCTCTAACCGGCAAGGACGTATATATACGGCCTAGAATATTTCGTGATATCTGTAAAACCGTATATATACGTGCATATTAAAATATGGCAAAAAATGAAGGCAATATATTAAAAGTACATAAATCCGGATATAAAATACCAGGAGGGTTTTACATTAAAATCAAGAAGAGAATTTGTTCTCATAGCAGTTTTGGGAAATTTGTGCTTTCTTAGCGAAAACCATGGCATAATAATCTAATTTTCTATACACCTTCGGTATCAAAAATGTATTCGAAGTTAAATGACTGAAAATCTGGTGCTCTTTTATTTTTAATCATAAAAAAGTATAGATGTTTAACTAATCATAAGTATCTGATATAGTAAATATATCACACAAATAGATTTATAAAAGTCTGATGTGGCCAACTCATGACATCCCATCAATTCCATGTTTAAATAGCAATGAGCTTTAAGAAAAGTGTCACTTCAGATTAATTTTTCGAAAATAAAATACCATTTATTGTTCCGATGAGCTTGTATATAAAATTTTGGATTATATTTTATTAGATATAATTGGCCATATGTAAAAAACTGGTTTCTATAAATTTATTACTTACATAATCAAACTTTTCCTCCTTTATTTTTTTATGAAAGTTACATTTTATTGGGCAGTCTGGTAGCATACAATTTAATTAATTTTTAATTAAAGAAAATTAAGTGTTTATATTGTATTTAAAATCAGTACTTTGAAATGAATACCATAATTTACTTTTCTTCTGTGTTTTTTCTGTAATATCAATAAATCTAAATTCATTTGATCTGCATGTACATGCTTGCGATGTTTAGGTAGTGGTAAAATATGTTCGCTCAACTGCAACTGCAACTGTTCGCTCAACTGCTCGAGGGCAACAATCGGTATGAATATATTATGTTGATAGCTACAAAACTGTTATGGGCCTCAAGTAAAGAATCACTTCTGGTTAGCCAAAACCTGATCAACTCTTTATATGAACGCTAAAAGCTTTAAATAATGGAAATAGAAATTTTTCAATGTTTGATATGAGGGTAGTGTCGACGAAAAACTCGTCACACACATACAAACACACAGATTGACAGACATCATTGTAAACATAATAAAAACGTTGTCCGGGAGTTACAAATTCACTCCTTCTCATTGGAAACTCACTATCGAATTTTTGGACAGAAAATGTTTCCTTCCTTATCTGTTTTATTGGCTGGTAAGGAGGTAAAAAAATACTTTTATTGGTACTTACATGTTTTCCTGTTAACCATTTATTTTCCTGACCGTAAAATAAAACAAAATTTGATTGACTAATTTTTACTCAACGCAAAGACCGCCAACAGGAGTCCATGCTTACAGTGCTGAAGCGTCAATTCCTGTGCTTTTTCAAAATTCTAAACCATAACTATTCGTTTATAAAGAGGTTGCGGGTTAATTAGAATTAGGTTAAACTTTGAATGTCTTCTGCCAATCTTTGTAGAGCTCTCCCGCATATATTGATGATTCCATATATGAATTTGGCTCGTGTCTGACATTTTAGAAGTCGTTTAGTGCTCCACCCCAAATCAAATACCCGTTGCATACGTCATATTTAAACAAAAGAATGGTTTCTCAAGTCTTCTAAACAGCATCTTCTAGTACTTTGGCCCTACGATTAAAAATAAATTGGTTAATCATCGGATTATGGTAACTTGGCGATTTTCTGGCGAAAATTTGGCGTTTGGCGACCAACCCTGCTACAGCAACCTGCTAGTTTTTTCTTGGACGCCATTTTGTTTTCACAAAGTAAAGGTATGTTTTTTTTTTTTTTTTTTTTTTTTTTTTTTTTTTTTTTTTTTTTTTAAACTCAACATTTTTTTCCCAACAATCTGCTAGCCGAATTACTCTTATGCTAGAACTTTTATGGTACAAAAGTGCTTAATCATGACGAAGATTAGGTGCGAAATTGGGGGAAAGTGCAGAATCGCCCACTGCTTGCCGCGTTTTTAAGAATTGTACATACACAGTATCCATGTACACGTCGACCTATTTTCACTTAAAAAAACATCCCAGAATTCCACAAAAATGGCATTGCACACACTCTTGACTTTATCCATGTACACTGCTAAAGTCCTAGCTAGTAACCTTTATTGCCTTACCAAAATGTCGCCAAACTACCTGTTACCATATTCCAAAGAATAGCCAATAAATTATTTAGCTGAATATAAGCTTTTTATTTTGGTGCATTTTTGTCACAAAAGCTTTTCTCAAAGAACGTTCTTCTAAATATGTCGCGAGAAACGTGATGAATGAATATGCGTTGTGTAAATCGTGTAATATATGAATTATCGGTTATCATTATTAAATGAATGCATTATCATGCAAAATCATTAACTAGAAGACATGAATATGGTTTCAAAGGCTCAGCAACGACATAAATGTTGAAATGCTGTTTTAAATATGGACAAAGAATTTTGAACATTCTTAAATATATAGAACTATAGAACTTGTTTGTGTATGCTTTTTTTAATTACTATTCAAAAATTAACTTAAGGGAATTTTTCGGAAACTAACTTAAAGATTAAAAATTTTCTGTTCCAGTATTTGAGAAACTAGAATTTATTTATTTTTTTCTTTTTAGAGGATGTTGAGGTCACTGGTTAGACTGTATACTAAAGACAACTTTACAACAAAAACAACCAATTTTACTTTGTGGACTGTAATATAACTAAAAATCAATATCGAAAATTCCCGACCATACGGGATCAAAACCAGGTACGCTACGCTAGGAGTTCGAGTTTTAACAAACTGAAATTGCCCAGAAGCAATGCGCTGTACATAGCTTTTATTACCGCGTAGGAGGCAACAGAGGATATTAGAATTAATTCATCTAATTTCACAGCAGCTGTAGGTAATAATTTTTTATTACGGTAGGGAATAAAAGTTGAATTTATAATTTTTGAAGTTATTATTAAAATATATAAATTGAACACACATATTCGTTATATGAGATACACATTAAAATTATACTAGTACGAAACTTGAAAAAGACAATGCAAAATAGCAGATAATTACAGATATCTAATGCGTACGGTCCGGGAGCAAAAGTACGTGAGTATATTTGAGTTTAATTAATATTTAATTTGTATAGTCGTGAATATTTTAGGAATTTATTCCAAAATGCTAAGTTATTTCGAGCGAACATACGCAATTTCTGCTTTATCTGTGCAATTCTCGTTACAAATGTCATAAACGTTTAGCATTTCTGATACCAACCATTTTTATCCCTAGCATGGTGCCTGAAAAGCGAACAAGTACAGTGTGTGCTACTGGGAGCCCTCTCTGTCGACCACTTGTACGACCAACTTCAAGCCTTGCAAGTAAGTTTGCAGAATGATAAATACCAAATAACGAATATACTGTCTCTCCCTCTACATTTTCTTGGTTTAACAATTTAAAAGGATGTATTGAAGAGTAAATCCAGTTCTTTGAGTTAAATGTTTTCACTACATTATTAAAACCTTTTATTTTACTCGAAGAATTTTATTGACGTGATATTAAAACGCGCGTTTATCGTGAAGTTAGTCTGACCAATCGCTCATCTTAATTTGGAGACCTAGTACTCTTGCTGCCACTTCATAACACTTTCATTCCATATACATATCCAGCTGCTTCTCGACAAAATTTTAGAGTTAAATATCAAAGATGAAGACAGGCGGTAGTTAATAAAGCTCTCAAATTTATCTCTTTATAAAAATTAGCACAGGCTTGAAGTACTCAAATTGACACTTAGACAATATTTAGGGATACATTTAAGAGAATTTTCACCAGAATGGTAAACAATGGCCTCTAAACCTTGTAGCAGTTGCCTGTTTGTTGAATATTGCTTAATGCATTTGCCTAAGTTACGTTTATCAATATTTCTTCTCTACGAATTATTGCTTTTAACGGACCTATGGTGGTCTCTGTGGGAAAAAGCTTACGTACGAAAAAAGAGAATGAAAGTGATCACGTTTCATTTTATTGTAAAGAAAAGCCTATTTTTTAAAAGAAGAAACATATCGGGATTACATTTTATTTGAAGAAAGTAATATAAAGTAAATTATTTAAGCCAAATGTCATCCATCAAGGTGAATAATATTTACTGAGAAACCTAGAGTCACGTTCCACTCACAGGGTCAATAAAGCACAAAGTTAAATGTTCACCTTAAATTTTCAAAATTGAGGGAAATCAAAAGAGAATTAAAGAAATTATGAGAACACAATCCTACTCAAACTAGAGCAAGATTCAAATAGGTGCTCAAAGGGACGTCCAAGAGTTCCGTTGCAAAGTTCACACCAGCGAATGAAAGTCCGTGGCATCATCTCGTAGATTCCTCATGTTAAATCTTGTCTACTGCAATAACAAGTCTTGCAACGCGAGTTTCCTCAGATCTCTCTTGCACCAATGATTTTATGTGCCCCAGAATAAGCCTAGTGGATTAAGATCCAGTGAGCTGGAAGGCTAAGCCCTGTGTCTACAATGTCGAGTCCACCGTTCAGGGTATGTGGCATTCAGGAAGTATCGGACCGTTGAGATAAATTGTGCTGAGACTCATGCACAAAATACATCCATCTGTGTGGTGAGCGGAAAGTCTGAAGCGAACCGAAAAGGCGCTTGCTTCAGAAAAGTATAATATGCTGCACCTGTGAGACGTCCTAATAACAGGAAGGGATTCCACAAGCAATCACAAAGATAGCTGACTTGATGTTCAGGGTAAATTTTTGCTACAGTATTGAGATAAGCAATGACGGAGCTATTGCCTTGAGCCCAGATGTATTTGTTGAGAGTGTAAAAAATGTATTTAGAGCTAAAACAGGCTTCTTCCGGTGAAATAATAACGCTTAAATAATAAAGTGAAAATTGCTAGTTTTCATCTGTGGAACAAGCACCTCACAAACTCCAACTATAGGAATATTTATCTGCCTTAAAAGTTCTGCACATGGAAGGAGTGCATGCAATACAACATACCACCCTATACTGTGACCACCAGCCATCCAATACTAGTGTCGAACACTTTCGTTTGTGTACTGTGGAAGGAGCTGCTACAAATCTTCCAAGATACGCTCATCCATTTTCGGCATCCACACATTTTGCTTATGTCCCGTATGTTTCTTTGAGTTAACGAAAGATTCACTTTCACGCAAATGTTTCTACCAACACTCGAAGTTATACCGGTTTAGTAAACGACGATTCGGAAATAGCTGACTATACAAATCCTTGTGCTTCGCATTCGTTTACGTTAAATACATCTCTGCCAAAGCTTCGTATGTGCAAATCCGAGCTTCATGAAGTTGTTTAGGCCATTATTAACACGGTAATAATCTGAAGCGCTGAAGATGTGACGCATTTAAAGGACATTTGTTTAAAGGACTAACTTTCTTTTGGATCTTGGTGAGCTAACTAGCAGCAATTATCTGTACTTTTCTTTTCACTAAAAATTTATTTATGCCAAATGCTTGTTGGTCTTGTTCTATGTTACTTCTGCGGCAAGACAGAATTGGCGTCAGAAACTGCATTATCAGTTAATTCAGATTAAAGCTATTCTTTCAAAATCACGTCGTCGTTATCAAGACTTATCGAAGTTGGAGGATCATTACAAAACTTTAGGTATGGAAAAGAAACGGGAAAATATGTTCGTTTCTGATGAGGAAACTATGCGGAGAGTTACTAATTATACATATAGGTCAGAATAGATGAAAAATATTTTACTGACCCTTATACATTGCTCATTATTGAATATTTATTTTAATGGAACGGCAATTGACCAATATATTTGCAATGAATAAAATAAAAAAGTAATTAAAAAATCTCAAGAAAACTAGGAACTCGGAGACAAAAAAAAAAAAAAAAATCTGAAAAGATTTCAGATTTTATATTACGCCCAATGTGGCATTTTTTTATCGTTTCGTGTGTCATCTTTATTTAATATCATTTTCTTCGCACTTAAACCATGTGAAATTCAATTCAACAGATATACCACAAAATATTTAAAAACAGCACATCTTTAGAATTTCCGATATAGAGTCACCTGCGCTGGAGATAAAAATTGCTTTTTCCGCCATTGCTTGCTTTGAAATCGTTGAATTTGTTAATCGAAAATTCGTAAGTTTTACAAAATATGAAATAGGTAATAAAACAAATAAAAAATTCCATATTTCGCGCTTTCAGGTGCCAATATTCGGGTAAAGAATTGCGCATTTCAAAATTTGATGGCTCTAGGTACAGTCGTTTTTTCACAGTGCGAGAAACATACATTATTCATTCAGAATTTTCATTATTCAATTTCTTTAAATATAATACAGTGCGATAATATTTACTGGCAACATTTTGAGAAGTGATTCAGAATTTTAGAGTGATTCGACGCAAAAGGCCGTTTCGACATTAATAGCCTTTCTAGGGTAATGCTCCTTTGAGCTAAAAAGAAAAATTATTTTACAAATAGCTCAAATGAGGCCCGCTATTTGTAACTGACGTAGCTAATTTGTACTTTTCTAAATTTGTTCTTCTACATTACCGATGCTTCCATTTTATTGCAAACAAAGCATAGCCGTCGCTATTTATGTTCAAAAAACATTTCGAGATTTTAAATAAAACTTCGAGATTCTTAATGTTTTAAGTTTTGGTGCTATAGCTCTTTCGCTATATTTATAATGATGTGGTAGAAAGTTTCTCCCTACGCTCCGAGCTTTTCTACTGTTCTAAGTCCTTATCTACACAAATTTCTTAGTAATGATTAAATTTGCCGAAATGTGAAACCCACTTAAAGAGATGCCTAGTGACGATATTCTTGGTAAATCGTGCTGGGTATTGATAAATGTGTTGTGGTGCTGCCATCTATGTTGAAAAATTATAACTAAACCTGAATTTAGTTGATTAGTTGGCTACAGTGAATTTTATGTAATCTATATAAATGGAAGATATTTTCTTACCAAATATTTTTTATTCTCAATAATAACACTCAATATCACTTTTAATTAAAATTTATAAAATTATTTTTCCTTTTTTAAACTCAGTTTCTAAAGGGAAACAAACACCGGGTTAGATGATCATCTTAAATTCAAATTTTATGTACATCAGGTTCATAATATTTTTAATTTATTATGAATGTAGTCTTGTATTATAAAAACAATTTAATTCTTTCGGTGCGTACTAATGGCAAATATCTGTAATAAATATACACTGAATCTATTCGAACGTAGGTATCACAGGAAACTGCCTAAAGCACCAATTTTCAGAGAGCGCTAACCTAAGTTTCTCTTAAACTTTCAGTTGAATAAATGTATGCTAAGCTTCTTACAATATGTTTAAATGAAGTTAAATTATTAATGTGTTCATACGGAGTGTCAACTCTATTAATTGCTTAGATCGCCGAAAATATACACTAATACATTCTGCACGCTTTTACTGCATGCACACACACAAGAAAAGAAAAAAAATGCAACAGGTATATCTCTCGCTTTACTGGACCGATTGAAGAAATTTAATTTTATTTTTCATGTCTTGAAAGCGCTGCTTCCGATATATAGTAAAGGTAATACAGGTAATTTGACAAAAAATCGGGTATTTTTTGGAACAGCATACCAATTTTCATTCCATATTTAAATTCTACCACTCAGATTGTGTTAGAATATTAAATTTCATAAAATTTGGTGAGAAACTTATCGGCAAATTCAAAACTTTATCTTGGAGCACTTTTTTTTCCCCACCAAGAATAATGCATTGGCAAAATTCTAATTTATGGTCGCCTATTTTTCTTTTCCTTTTTTAATTTTTCACAACAAGGAAAAAGGCTATTTATTCATTTTTTCAAATAATTTTAACAGAGTGCGTAAAGCATATTTGGCGTCATTATTGCTTATAACAAATATGCCAAATTTCAAATTGCACCGATATATATATAAATCCACGCGTATCTACGGATATTTTGAATAAAAAACTCTAGTGTTTTTTCATGTGTGCCTAGAAATACAGTTACTTTAAGGTGATGGTAAAATTTTGAAAGGTTATAATTCAAAAATGTTTTCGAAAAATTAGTAAAAATCACTAAAAAATGCAAATTTTAAAAATAAATCAGAAAATGGCTACTACTTTTATTTGCATTGAACGTTAATTTCGAACTGTGAAAGTAGGAATCAAATGAGTTTAATAAAAAGAGAAATAAATATAATAATAAATATATGTTAATAAATATATACCAATTTCAGTTTACATTGCGAAGCGAAAATCTTGAGAGGTAATATTCCAAAAACTACTCATACGAATTTTACAAGAATTTTTTAATTTTATGAGATTTAATATTTAAACACTTTGGCATAATTTGAGTCCTAGAATCGAAATATGGAAAAAATAGGCATGCCATTTCAGAAAAAGTCTGAGTTTGTGTCAGAATACCTATATTAGTTTAGTTGTATATATAAATACAATAAATATCCTAAATCGAGGCTTTCGATACATGAAAAAAAGCAAGTTAAATTTCTTCAATCGACCCAGTAGAACGGGAGATACAGAACTGTTTTTTCTTCCCCCTTCCCCTTCAAGGTGTGCATGCAGAATGACAGATGCATTCCAAATAAAGGAACAAAATAAGAGAGGTACGAATATTATGTGTTTATTGCAAAGCCGCTAGGAGCAACGTGAAAGAACGCATATAATCTAAAGGCATTAAAAGGGAGTACAATTTACGCGATCTTCTCATGATCCTTCAGTTACAGGCATGATTTTTCGTTTGGAGAAGTATCTGGAAGTGGTAGAAAAGCGTCTCTTTCATTCCTAAACTACCCTTTGTGGTCAATATGAAAAAATAGAAACATATTGCAAGGAAGATGATGGTGCATTTATGACAACGTAATCGAGGACTATCTGCCTAAGAGGAGGATGTTCGTTGAGAACGTTTTAAGCGAAAGTGGCTCGTATACACGTTACACATGGGGAAACGAACGAAACCACGAAACGCCCATGTAGCCAGCCCGTTCGCCGGACATCGAACCCCGGACCGAAGTACCACTGTTCAGCTATTTTACTCCTCGGCCCTGTAAAGAAGAGGAATAAATTTAGAAACGTTTATTGTTTACAAAGTAATTAGTTTCAGTTATAAATACTAGGCATCATTTGAGTTATTTGTAGTATAATTTTTCTTCTGTTCCTTAGTTCACAATTTTCTTGCTATGTTTTATTCTTTTTCTCCTTTGTGAATATATTAATCAACAACCATTGCATTAAAATAAATATTTATTTCAGAATTTAACTTTGGCCCAAATATGTCATTTTATCAAAACAAAAGTCCTAATCTTGTATTCTTTTGTTGATAGATCATTCCTAAGCTCACGACCAACATATCCAACGAGATTGAGAAGATCCTCGATAATAAGCCGACAAGGCATCCTCTGCAAAGGTGACTAGTGCAGAGTCGAGGCCCTTCTGCGGACCTCGGCTCGCCTGCAGATCAACCTCTTGATGCTCTCAAGGGCAGAGACACCAACCACACGGCTACCTCCCCGACTGGAGAGCCCCGCAACGACCAACCGGCTACCAGCTTCATGGACAATCTCAGAGCCACCTGCGTCATGCAATGACCACTGAAAGAATGTTTCAGTTTTGTCTTTCTCTCTTGCATGCAGAAAAATTTCTTTATTGCCTTCCTCTGCATTTTGGTACAAAGCTGGAATTGTTCATATTGTCCAACTACAAGCTGTGTGACTTAAGCGAGGTTGCCAGGAAACACATATTTGCGATATAATTGACTTCATAATGGCGTCAAGAACAAGAGAAAATGAGTGAGGCTGATAGTTAGTTCAACTTTAGCTCAAAATAATAACTATACTTTTAATTTAACCGTAATTTGACGCTTTAAAGTTTTTATTACTTCAATAATATGCATAAATCAAACTTTAACTAAATTCTTTCATTAATATTTATTAGCTTCATAATGAAACAAACGCTGTAATTGCATTTTAAGGTCATATGTTTTTGATTTCTACATTTATATAATGCTATAATTAAAATTTTTTCAAACTGAGTAACCGCAATTAGAACAGTTATAAAACTTCAAAGTGTTTTTTGAGTAGAAATCGTATATCTAATTCTCCAAGCCGAGATAACTTCGAAAAGAACAATCGTTGTAGCCAAGCTTATGTTTTAACGTAGCTAAACGTATAATAAAATCTGAAAAAATAATATTCTGTAGATATAAAATCTTGAAATATTAAATACATAATCTCTTTCGTAATTTTATAAATGGACGATTCAAAAAAGTATTTAGTGAATAATGATGTAAGATCTTGTATAATAATATCAATAAATTAGTTCTGCAGTATTATTACCTTATAAGAAGAATTAATGAATAGTGAGTTAAAGAGTTTAATGAGGTTTTTTATTTTTTGCATATTACAAAATATTTGTTAAAGTATGCAAAACAAGAATATTCGATTAGGCTGAAATTCATTTTTTAGGAATTACTCAAATTATTAGATTTTCTCTGTGATGTAACAAATAGAAGTGGCATTTATACTAACCAGATCAAATATTTGTATTAGTTACACCGAGGAAGTGTACAAGTTAATGGTTTGAAGACCGTGAATAGTTTAAAAATCAGTTAAATAATTAGAAGAATATCATGCTTGTGATTTTGACGTCTTACCATGAATCAGCTGAAAAGCAGCATTTAGGGGAATCATATTATAGCAAATTTGGAACATATTCGGACGATTCTTCGTTAACATAGAATTATTAAAGAATACTAATAAAAATATAGAGCTTAAATTAATATGCTTAAACGCATAAGAACAATGTAGCAAAAATAGACATAAATTATAAAAATAATATGATTGTAGATAAAAAATATGAGTACTGTAAAGTGGTTTTTAAAATGCCAGTGTGTTATATTTATTTTTTCGTTACCTTATTTTCAAAAGATCATTTCAGACGTTTATAATCTACTGACGAAAATGAAAATTCGTACAGATTTCAAAACTTAAAATCTGTACGAATTTATTATAAAAAATATTATTTGTTATTAGTGATAGTTAAATTATATGTATATGTGTATTTAATTATGGCAAAGCACACTAGGGCTATCTGCCTAAGAGGAGGGATTCCTTCGTGGAGGACTTTCTAAGGGAAACTGGCTCGTATACACGTTACACATGAGGAAAACCACGAAAACGCCCATGCAGCCAGCCCGTTCGCGGGATTCAAACCTCGGACCGAACTACCAGTATTCAGCGACTTTACCGCTCGGCCGCTGGTGGGCCGATAGTTAAATTATGACTAATTTATAATATATTATTTTGAATTAATTTTAGTTGAATTTTATATTTCATAATAAATGAAGTGCATCGGTTATTACATTTTTATCCCTGCGATGCTATTTTCAATGTCAAAAGTCGATGTGGACTGATTTGCTGACTATGTAGCCATATATAGCAACGTATGTATGCTTGTGTATTATAGAGGATGTTATATGCTGGGTACATGTATTTGTCGAGTGGGAAAGTATAACATATGGTTATTAGTGAGCTTGTACATATTCATATAAGGAACCCATACTAGAAGGTGAATGTGAGAATGAAATACTTGAATGATTCGTTGTGAAGATTTATGTGAATGTGGTAAACTGAGAGTGAATCCTTATGCATAAACTATTTTCATCGGATTTATCATCGGAACTTCTGAATTAAAAGAACACCTTGGACCAAAATAGTTCTAGATCTCCAGTTTTACTTGACTGATTGATGAAATTTAATTTCAATTTTTCATATCTCGAAGGCACGACTTAGGACATATATTATTATATATATATATAATTGTTTCATAAGAATAAATTGAATTTAATTAAAGAAATTTAATTAAATATTCTTTACGCCATTGCTGCAAGGAATGAAATTTAAATTTAAACAAATTTTAATTTAAATTTTAACAAACACGTATAAAAGTAATAAAGCAAATTTAAAGCCAAAATAAAGGGGAAAAAAAAGAAAAAAAACCAAAATAATATTTACAAAAATTTTTTAAAAATGTGCAAACATATAAAAAGATTTAATTCTCGAACTAATTTACAATATCATTTAAATTCAGAAGCATAAGCAAGTCAAATGCAAAATGGATTAGTTTTGCACTTGATTTGCTTATGCTTCTGAGTTTAAATGATATTGTAGATTAGTTCGAGAATTAAATCTTTTATGTTTGCCACATTTTTTTAAAAAAATTTTTTAAATATTATTTTTTTTCTTTATTTTGGCTTTAAATTTGCTTATTACTTTATACGTGTTTGTTAAAATTTAAATTTAAATTTGTTTAAATTTATATATATATATATAGCATTGTTCTAACATCGGTATTTAGCACAAAATCAGACTTTTCTTGAAATGAGTAATCGTAAAAGGTTAATACAAAAATAGATATTAATGAATATGTTCCAAATTCAATTAACACTGAGGAGCTAAAATTTTGAGAACTATTTTTGAAACAACACGTGCGATGTTTACGAAATATTGAAAAACATTGGTATATAATTTTAGAAAAAGTCCTATTTTGTGTCAGAATACAATGCTGTATATAAATAAATCTAATATATATCCTAAATAGCGCTTTCGAGACATGAAAAATGCAAGTTATATTTCGCCAATCGGCCGAGTAGAACGGAACTAGAACTGTCCCACTATTATGGTGTGTGTATATGTTAGAACACACGAAAAAAAATGTACGGGTGTATTTCAAAGCCCCGTACCGAAGGGCAGACTATAATAGGTAATAAGGTAAGTTTATTTTTGAGGACTCAAGCCTAGTAAAAAAGTTGTAATAGCTAAATTTAAACTTAAATTTTGTGCCTACTTTCGAAAGTCATATGACTCAAAAAACATATTTCATTTTCAAACCTTTTCATTTAAAAATAAAGGTTAAATATACATCTCTAATGATTTTATTCTATAAAATACAAATACACATAAGAATTTTCCGAAAACGCTACTTATTTTTTAATCCGGAATTATTCCTTAAATTCCCCTTGACTTAAAGAACTATATTCAGTAGAAAAAAATATATTTATATTTTCTTGAAGTAGATTATTTCCCTTGCTTTATTCGTTTGTTATGTTAAATTACTGCGAAACACGGTTTTTTATCCTAACCATTTTTGCAAAATGGATTAGAACACTATTTTATTTTGTATCGTCAAACAGTTTCTCAACTATCGACCCTAAGGATTCATTAAATTACAGCAGCGCGCATGCGCTTCAGTATTTTCAGCTACTGAATTACAGTCTAAAACAATTTTTAACAGAAAAAGTGAAAATATAAGGGTCGTTCGAATGAAAGTGGCACTGCAGTCGATTTGAGAAATGGTTTAATGATATTAATATAAATTAGCATACAAAGGAAAGAAGTAATACAGACGTAACTGATAGGCTAGATAAAGTCACTTTGTAGGTTGAAAGAAGTATCCCAGCGGTCAACGAGACGATGGATACCTTGGGTGAAGATGTTTCGAGGTTGCTTATGGAACCAGTTTTCAACGGCAGCTTCTACCTCATTATTGCCGACTATTTGCTGTCCCTTCAAAGATTTCTTGAGTGGACCGAAGATGGGTTCATTACACGGTGAGAGGTTCGGGCTGTAACAGGGATATTAGAGAATCTCCCGGGGGAATTGCCGTAACAATGTTTGGCATGCCACAGCCACACGAGGATCATTATCATGCAAGAGGATAACCCTGCGTGACAGCATGCCACATCAGCGGTTCTTGATATTCTGTCTCAGTTTCTGCAATGTGGCATGGTCGTGCCCGCAGTCAGCCATTCGTGACAGTCGTGCCCGCAGTCAGCCATTCCAACAATAATGGGCCATCGACGTCAAAGAAGCACATAACATGCCTTTACCAGCTCTGGTGGACTTGTGAGCCTTCCTCGGGTGTGGAGATGAAGAGTATCGCGATTCCATGCTCAAGCTTTTGGTGGCTGTATCAAAGTACTGGCACCATGTTTCAGGAGCGGCAATGATCTTTGAAAGGAACTGTTTACCATTTCGTGGTACCGTATAAGGTGTTGCATGGAAACAGACATGCGACGAATCTTATGCTCCTCTGGTCATATGTTTTAGCACCCACTGCAGACAAACCTTGCGGTTTCGCAAACTTTCACGCAGTATAGTGTGCACATTTATCTATGCTCATAGACATTTCCTCTGCTATCTTTCAAGTGGAGATTCCCCAATTCATTTTCATGAGACGGTTCACATCTGCAACTGCTTCCTGGGTGATCAGCACATGCGCTTGACCAGCTGGTGTCCTGTCGTCAGTGGTGCTTCTTCCACTACAAAAATCCCTAAATCACCGGAATACCGATCTGCGCTTCATACACTGCATGCCAAACACATTTTGCATTCCACGATAGATTTCAGAAGCATTCACATTTTCCGATGTTAAAAATTGCAAGATCGCGCGTTGACACCGTTTGGGGCATCCATGATAACAACGATGCCTTTTAACATGCTCTGACGCTATCACACACACATCTGGCGGGATCTGACGACATCGCATGCTCTCCCATCATACTTTGCCCTGCACAGGGGCATGCACAGTCATCTTTCTCTTCAAATGGCGGAGTTATTACAGCAATGCCACTTTCATTTTAATGAAACCTTATATTATTTGCGTTGGCTATTTGTCGCAGGAGGATTGTATCTATTTAATGGCGATAATTCCATGCAGTTCAA